TTTTTTTTTTATCATTTTTTTTTAAATATTTATCCGAGAAGCGCGTTACCTGACAAACCGACTTTAAATGTATCGTCACTGGCGAGTGCAGCATCAGCACTCGTTTGAAGAAGGTTAGACAAGCATGACGCTACGGTCCCATCCCGAGGTTCGACCAGTATTTTTTCCATTATTACACGAGCAATTTCTTGACTAGCACTAGAATTTTTAATTTTTAAATAAATGAGGAACTTTATGCGAACAGCGGTGGCTCGTACTCAGCATACAAAGATATCGAGATAGCGTTAGTCACGCAGGATTGGTTAAAAGAAATCAGAATAACAGCATTGGATGTTCACGAGAACACGTGATGAACTTGTGATATCATCGTCTGTAAACGTAACTATGACCGCGCCGCCAGTCTGTTTTGTGCGTAAACGTGTTCTCGTTGAATGTGAAGTCATGCTACGAGGTACACCGTTATTCCAAAAGATTCGTAATTTTTACTTTGACACGCACAATCTTTACTTCTGTTGATGCAGTTTGTATTGGAACCACGTTCGCATTGAACTCGTGATATTCCATAACCTCTTAGAAATTGAAGTGTTATTTCATTTTATGCTATGTAATCTCTGACAAATATATTTAATAAATCTCTTTGAAAAGCGAAATGTATTTGTTTGTCAATACAAATCCAAAGTATCACGGAATGGAACGTATTTACGAAAAAAAAGATCTCAATGCGAATTTTAGGTTATGAAGTTAGGTTATGACGGGGCTGAGATGTTGATTTAGTGGAACATCATGACGAAGTCGAGGATATGCATAACGTTATACGCTTTGGTGAATGTAAAAGTGGTTTAGATGATTGTCAGTCAATTTTTTTGAAAGATCACGTAGCAATCATGTCGTTTTGTATGAGGCTCGCACGCAGTAAACTCATCCGTTTATTAGGAAGCATAGCTATGAGATGTTGGGCTTTCTCTGGGACTTACATACTTGCCTGTTTTCTTCTATACTGGTTGTACGGTGGAGTTTCTGCTTTCTTTCTACTTTGTTTCGCCACCACAGGTAATTTTTATTAGTGTTTTTTTAAATCAAGCTTTGTTAAACATGTATATTAAGTCATATATACATGTTACAGGTATATTATATCACAGAGAAGATCAACTTGTATATCGTCCAGAGTCTCCAGCTAATTCTCGGATATATATTCCTGCACCGTCGATATTTAATTTACCGTATCAAAGCATTTACATTAGATCAGGGGACGGTACAATGTTACACATGTTCTTCATTTCACAGTCGGAGGACAAAGCAAAAAAGGTGCCTACATTATTATTTCTTCATGGGAATGCTGGTAATGTGGGACATAGGTCAGTGACTTACGTTATTTTAATATTATTTACTTTAGGATGTAAGATAATAATTTGTGGAATTATTTCAGGCTAAAGAATGCGGTTGGATTGTACCATACTATCCAATGTAACATTTTGATGTTGGAATACAGAGGCTACGGTTTGTCACAGGGTTCACCATCTGAAGATGGTTTATACATGGACGCTCGTGCAGGAATTGATTATTTATCTAGTAGAACTGATATAAATACAAATGAGATAATTGTATTTGGTAGATCATTAGGTATATATATGATTTGAATAAGTTACGTTTAGCAAAGAACGTATGTATTTCAATGTTTTCGTAGGTGGTGCTGTCGCTATTAATTTAGCTACAAAGCCAGAGAATTCGCAAAGAATTTGGTGTCTTATACTTGAGAACACTTTTACTAGTATCCCCGATATGGCCGCATTACTTTTTGGATTAAAATGTTTACAATATTTACCTCTTTTTTTATATAAAAATAAGGTAAAATAGTTTTCATTGCAACCTGATTTCTTCACAAAAGGAAGATTTAATTTAATTTGTTCGTTTTCTATTGCAGTATTTGTCCATCCTCAAGGTACGATCAGTAACGGTACCTACGTTATTTATTTCTGGTTTAGCAGATACGTTAGTGCCTCCGCGTATGATGCAGGAACTTTACAAGAATTGCAAAAGTCCGTGTAAAAAGATACTTTCAATTTCGGGAGGTACGCACAATGAAACGTGGTGTCAACCGCGGTATTATAAAAACATATGTAATTTTTTAAATGAATTAAGGGAGAATCCGCCGGTTCAAGTGACGTCTAGTCACTGGCAAATAGACGATATATAAATGCAAATTACAAAGCTCACTTTACGTCCAAAGCGATAGTTATATTTTGGAGATTGACAGTATGATTGATAGACAGTACATCTTAACAAATAATCAAGGAATAGATTAGGATATCCGAATAAATTATCAATTTTTACTGTGACCGATTGATCCAATTGCAAAACATAACAACTCATAATTAATGAGGATCGATCTTCCATCGAAATATTTTATTAGAACGTATATATTATTAAAATAATAATGTATATATTATTAAAATTGTAATGTTGCAAGTGGTGCAATGTTTACGATCATAATAAAATATCATAATTTAAATTTATCCAAATTTGTTTCACAATTGAAATTCGTGAATAATTAAATAATATTTTAAATAATATATTAAATCTTTCCATTATATATAGTATTTTTAGGAAACGTTCGAATAGTTTTAATTAACTATTTTCATCGAAAATAGGCTGTTTTTGTATATAAAAAAAAATACATTATATATACGAATGTATTATATATGTGTGAATTAGAAAAATATATATTTATTTTAATGTTTTGATAAATATATTGCTATATATGTATTCTTATACATAAATTTATATGCATTTTGTATGTTAAAAATAATATTTAATTTGTTCTTATTTTTTTTTAATAACATCTAAATTTGATGAAAAAGAAAACCATGCATGTGATAATCGTATTACATGGTTTTTTAACAAACTTTATTAATTAAATTAATTTTTTGTATCAGTATTGATGTTTAATTGCATGTTAACAATTCTATCAGTTTCACGTGATATTTAATATTTAAACAAATGTACAGTAAATTATAAATTAATTCAGGAAATTTATTATTTATGAATCAGTTCGATTTATTACTTAATTTTAATCAATTTAAGAAATAGTATAAGTTATATGTTATTATATAAATCACTTTGATAATTGAAAAATGTATTCTTAAAATATCAATTTATTGAACATTTAAAAAACTTTTTGGATTTAAAAAAAATTTGTAAAAAGTAAATAAGTAAAATAAATTTATATAAAATTTTAAAATTTCCTATTAATTCTTCTTCTTTTTATGGCTACTCTTTGTGTCCATACAATGCCTCCTACTATTAAAAGTATTAATACAGTTATAGCTATTCCTACAACAATTAGCAGACCAGTACTCGAGTCAAAATGTATTACTTCAGTAGTCATTACACTGGCAACATTCATTGTCAAATTTTCTTTCAAAATTGACATATTAGCACAAAATACTTGATCTTTCCATCCGTACCAATGTACTATTCTTATATTCGATATTTGTGGAGGCCAAGCACATCTTATATAATGAAATGCAATAAAATGATTAGTATATTTATTTGTTGATTCAAAATATTAAACTTAGTTCTAATAATAATTTTACAAAGTATATACCTCAAATCATCTAAAAGACGAGGCTGGGTGGTATAAAGTTGTGGAACCAAATCGTTTAACATCCATTGTAATGCACAATTACATTTAAGTGGATTTCCTTGTAAATTGACATTGTATATTGTAAAATTACTGCTCTGCATGATCAGTTTTTGTGCCACATAGGAAAGTTGATTATTACTCAAATCTAACTAATAACAACAAAATTATTTTCTTATATTTAAACGATATTTCTAAATTAGAATTTTAGAACTTACTGAACATAAATTCATGTGTCTCAAAGCATCTTCATGAATGAAAGTCAACATTTTATTATTGGATATAGTAAGATTAATACAATCATTCGATGGTGATCTTAAATTTGATAATGTATCTTTTTCAATATTCTTTAACATATTCATTTTATTTGCAACAAATAAATTTAGTTTTAAGTCAGAGTTAATTGTCAAGTTTTTAATAGGGTTTTCACTGACATCAAGTTGAAACAATAATGGAAAATTTTTAATAGATATTATTTCTGGGACATAAGTCAATTTATTGTTAGATATATCTAACACTTTCAAATTTTCAGATATAACATTTGAGAAGTCTGATAACAGATTTCCACTAATATTTAGAGATTGTAAATTATTTGTTATTAAGTTTGCATGTAATGCAGAAATATTGTTGTGCTGTAGATTTAATATTTCAATGTGAACTGAATTGTATAATATTTCTGAAATTTGATTATATCCAGAGTGTAACTCGATCAATGTCTTTGGTAATGCTTGCATATCTAGTGTAATAATGAAATTATTATTTATATAAATTGCTTTCAAAGAATGTAAATGCATTAGATTACAATCCTCCAAAGAATGGATTTTATTAAATGACAAATCTAAATATTGTAAATTTAGCAATGATGCAGAGAATCCTTTAGGTAAACTAGATATATTGTTATGAGAAAGATCAAGTGTATTAATCTTTGTTATAGTGTTATTCATTAGATGATCTATTGAATCTATATGATTGTAACTGAGATTTAATGACAACAATGCAGGTAGTACTTCCAACAATGAATCATCAAAAGTTTTTAGTGAATTTTTGGAAAGATTTAGATTTTCCAGACTATTCAAGTCTATGAACATTGTTGTATATATTTTTTCTATAATATTTTCAGATAAATCTAAATTTCTTAAAAATTGTAACTTTTTCAATAAATTCCTAGGTAAATTAACTATGTTGTTTTTAGATAAAACAAGTTTGTTTAAAATTTGATGATTATTTAATGTTAGTAAATCAAAGTTAAGCATATCATTATTTGCCAAATGTTTTCCATGACAGTTAATTTCTTGTTCTTCATGTACTGTAATGAATAAAAAACATATTAACTTGAGAAATAATTAAGTTATAATTTTAATCATTAGATGATCGATATATGTAATCAATAAATAATTTTGGAATATTTTAAATAATTTTACTTACTTAAAATTGTGCATGAACATGTTGAACATATATCACACGTAGAAATTTGTACTGTCCATAGAAAATACAATCCAATAATATTTAAATAAATAATCATTGTATTAAATTACTAATTGTATAGTTTATACTCAAGCAATCAATATTTAGTATTACTCATATTTAGGGTGTAGCATGCTTCTGATATCATGCCTGTGATAACATATCTGACAACTGATAACTTTAATATGTACATTTATTTCACCTAGACTTGGAAGATAATTATAATTTGAAGATGAAAATTTAACATATTTTTGTTTAGTAATTTTACATCAATTATTTGCAAAATATAAAATTTTATTTGTATTTTGTATGTTATAATAGAATCATAAAACATTATTGCATTTCGGTAAATAATTAAATTGTAAAACAGGTAATACAATGTAATAAAATGTGCTACGACTTCTTAAAGAAATTCATTAAAGTAGTCTGTTTAGTATTTCTCTTTCCTTTGACTTCTGAATGTGATTCAGATACAATTTTCTTTTCATTTTTCGGTTCTATAATTTCTGGTTCTTCTTCAGAACAACTTTCGTAAACATGTACTTTTTTTGTAACAAGAAAACCATCTTCCTCGAATGTTTTGTCTACTATTTTTAGAACTTTGCGTTTCCCATTTTCATGTTTAACTTGTGGTGGAGAAACAGAACGGTTCTTTAGAAAAGCAGGAGGACTTTCAGGCGAGAGTGGTAAATCCAATTCTGGTTCATTTTCATTGTCAGAGGACTCTGAACTACTAGAATCATTCTGAATTGTAATACGTTTTCGCTTCTTCACAGCATTATTGGTTTCCTTACTCCGATTGCGTTTTCTGCTTCTTACATTCTGTTTCTGTTTATGATCGGTTTTCGAAATCTTTTCTTCAGAATCTTTCATATTCTGTTTCTGTTTGTGATTAGTTTTCGAAACTTTTTCTTCTGTAGCTTCTTTCGTCAAGGAGTTTGCGCCCTTTTCCATGTCAGAGGAATTTGTACATTTATCCTTGTCCAAAGAATTTGCACTTTTGTCTTTATTCAAAGAATCTGTAGTCTTTGTTTGATTCTTGCCCAGTTCAAAAAAGCTGCTCAGTCCCCCTTTTTGCGTGTTTTTCTTTTTCTCTGCAATAATATTTTTAGATGTTTCTCTCTTATGATTGGAAGAGTCCACTTCCATCTTATCTGCGCTAGACGATGCGGACGGATTTTTCTGCTTATTACCAGCCTTTCCAAATAAATTGTCGAAACCTTTCCTGTCGGCATTTTTCTTTTTGGCAACCTGCTTCTCTTCTGGGCTCGTTGCTTTTCTTTCATTGACTGCCTCCAATACCGATGACTGTACTTTCTCGCAAGGAGCAGATTCGATCTCCTTTGACACAGCACCCCAACGGAACATGTGCATTTCCTCATCATTACGTTCGTTATTCTCAATGCATTTGATACCACTGAATTTAACGTCCCCGTCTTCAGCTAACCCAAGCAACTGCATTTCGGGAAGTACTTTTTGAAGACTATAAACATGCTTGGAGATAATTTTGCTGTATTTTTCTCTCGCTGTTGACAGATCTTTTTCTTTTACAATCTCAACTCGCATACCATCATCATGCAAGTGACCCATTAGCAGAAACACACATTCGAACTGTTTCTTCTCTTTATATTTCTGCCAAAATTCCCACAAAATCTGCTTTGCGATGTTGACGTGAACTTCCAGTTCCTTGCTCAACCATTTATATGTTACCTATGGTTATTTTATTTAATTAACATATTACTCTCCCCAAAATATAATGTAATTAATAAATATATATAATGTAATTATAACCAATAAAAAATTGGCAATAATAAAATATTATATATAATAATATATATATTTTTCGACTAAACAATATTAGAAATCATTAACACAATAGAAATTTAAACGTCCTGTTGCGGATAATCGAGAAACGTGAATAAAGATACTCACCAGTTTGTCATCGTCGAATATATATCCCGCTACAGTTTCCAAATATTCATGCTGAGATTCCATCATCATGTTTAATCGAGTCGTTTAGTTTTACGAGGAATTATTTCCATGAGAATTAAACAATTCGATGTTATGTCCCTTTTCTTAACATACAGAACCCGCTAACCAAGTCCTACAGGATTACCAATCGTGCAAAAGTTGTTACATTATGAATGATCGAGAATTTCTAATTCAGTGTTGTTAAACAGTAATGTAACTCACAAAAGAGGAGTTTTAACGGTCTGTAATCTTCGTTCGCGTTTAACAATTTGAATGATTGAAATTTCGAAATTTCAAATATTGCAACCGATGATCGTGTCGATAAATGGTAACATTGTTTTACCAGAGGTCACTTCAGAGTGAAAGTTCTGTTAAATGGACTAGCCAGTGTTCACATAACAAACAAGTTCAATTAACGATTTCCTCTCGTTGGCAGTTAACTATATGCTGCGGGATCATTTTGAGTGGAAAACTTCCATCTGTATGTAAAGCCGGGAGAAGGGAAGTATGGTTTCGGTGATGCAACCGTTTATGGTGAGTGGAGAATATTGTAAAGATGAAACAAGTTGCCGGCAGTTTTCTTCTGCTTTTGGGGAGATATCGTTTCCGTAGAGTCATCGGAGGATCTTGAAAATTAAACGACTATCCGATTGTATCGTAGGATGTTGAGAGCTCGAGAAGTTACATCGACGAACTATACTCGCTGGATCCACAGAAATGCTTAGAAGCTATTATGTGAGTAAAATCGTATCTAACCTCCAAACTTGTTTACTGAAGATCGTTATTTATTAAAAATCACTGTAACGTACGGTGTAAACAAAGCATTAGAAGGATAATATGATCGAAGTCACCTTATTGTCTTTCATACTCCCCTCTGTTAATTCCAACAATTTTTATTATAACCAAACAACTGCATTAAATATAATCTATAAAGGTTTGTTTTTTTTTTTTGTTATTTATAGATGTCTAAAAAATTCTGTGATTGGAAGCAATAGGCAGAAAGGATCTGTAATAGCGCAAGGTGTAGTACCTCGTTTGTTGCAACTTCTCGGAGATTTGTCAGATAGAATTGGAGACAATATAAGGCTCGAGGCTGCAGTGACTTTGGGTTCTTTGGCCAAAGGAACGGACCAACACGTCCTGGCACTTATAGATCTTGGTGTAGTGCCATTGCTTTTTCAGGTTATATTATCCACGCCAGTCACAGAAACGCCGTTGGAAGGAAAACCAAAAATAACGGATCTGTTGAATGAGGCATGCCTGCGTTGCTTGAGAACAGTATTTCAACATCCGGCAGCACCAGTTCACTCGATATATCAGGATCCCGCATTAGTGCCAAGATTAGTATCATTAGCGAATCAATGTGTCACTTGTCAAATTTGTGTGGCAACAATTTTAACAACAGCATGCAAGGTATATAAAGAGATAACAAAATCAAGTCTACTGACAACAAACAATTCCTTGCGTAATTTGTAAACTTACATTAAAAAAATTTTTTCCTAGACGACAGAAGAGCAAAGTGCTTTGGCCAAAGGAGGCGCAGTAGAAACATTAGCAATGCAGTTGGATTCTCCATTACCTGACGTTCAGTTGTCGGCTTTAGCATGCTTGGCAAATATGTGTTATAAGAATTATAGGGTATGTGTTATGGTTGCGTCGGCAACTACCAGTAATACACCGCAGGGGAGGCTTGTACCTGCAGCATTAGGACAGTTAATGGGTCGTGAGAAAAGCTCGTTAATTCAACTTGAAGCTGCAAGATGTGTTACGTATATGCATAGGACTGGAGTTTTACTATACAAAGATCCAAGAATTATATACCGTGCTTTGCCTTGTTTGGTGCGACTCTGTCATCGAAATCATCCACCGCGTGAAAGAGTAGCAGCGGCCGAAACTCTGGCTTTCCTTACTGAAGTTAATACCGAATTACAACGTCTAGCTTCCATTAGCAATCATTTAATTCCCACTCTTGCAGAATTATTGCGATCTCATCCGCATGCAAGTATATTATAACGATCTACGTATTTATTTTCCATACATTGCCACTGTTAATTTTAAACGTTCATAAATTTTTAGGTGCAAGATGCAACGTTGACGCAAGATATGCGACAAGCTGCGTTTAGGGCATTTGCGTCTCTTGGTGCTAATGACGAAGATATTAGGAAACGTATTATCGAGACAGAAAGTCTTATGGAGCAAGTGGTGGCGGGCCTTCAGGATCCAGGAGGTTCTCACGTACGTTTAGCAGCAGTTAGATGTCTTCATTCTCTTTCTAGAAGCGTTCAACAACTCCGAACGACATTTCAAGATCACGCTGTTTGGAGACCACTTATGCAGTTGTTACACGGCGCGGACAAGGGATTGGAAGGTAAAATATAATAGTATTTTTACACTATTGTACGAATTGTTATTAAAATAATAATTTATACAAAATGGTGTGTTTCATCTTTTAAAACGTTTCAATTACACTAAAATTCAATTCGCTGAAGTACGATGAAGATTTATATTGCATATTTTTTGCAATATAATTTTTAACTATTAATTAATATGATTGCATTGTGTAGGTAGAGGCGAAAGCGAAGTTGATTTATTAACTGTTGCCTCGAGTACTTTATGTAACCTGTTGTTGGAATTTAGTCCAAGCAAAGAACCGATTCTTGAATCTGGAGGGATAGAGTTATTATGCTCGCTTACAAAACGATGTACACCGGCGTTGCGATTAAATGGAATTTGGGCTTTAATGAACGTGGCTTTTCAAGCGGAACAGCAAGTAAAATTGCAAATTTTACAATGTTTGGGAACAGATCAAATCTTTTGTCTTCTGGCCGATCAAGATATACCAGTTTTAATGAAGACATTAGGTTTATTGCGAAACTTGCTCTCTACGAAAGCACACATAGATCGCATAATGGGAGAGCATGCTGCTCACGTTATGCAAGCTGTTATATTAGTTTTAGAAGACCCAAGACATCCAGCAGATGTAAAGGAACAAGCTCTCTGTATTTTAGCGAATGTAGCCGATGGAAACAGAGCGAAGGATCATATTATGGCCAATGAAGATGTGCTTA